AAAGAAGCTATTACAGATGATGAAGAAGGTTTGCTGTGGTCAAAAGGCTTACTGGGAGACAAAACTGCTCAAAGTTTGGTTTACACAATTTATTTCTATATCCACCCTCGAAGCCTATGGAAGACGAAAAGTTTCAAATTTCCGACGAGTGAAGTGGACTGGTCTAAAATTGATGAAGAGGTGCAGCGACGTACTATCGCAGAAAAGTTTGTTTTGTCGAACAGTACATTCACTAACTGTTCCTTTAACATTCCGTTTGCCGGAAATAAGTAATACTAAGTCAATTGTATGTGTGTTATTGTTAGTGTGATTAAAAAAGCAACATATTTTGTTGTTTGAAGTGTGTTTTAATGTTTTTGTGTATTTAGAAGTTATTTCTAAATACAGCTTACTGTATTTAGAAATAATTATAAACATAGCAATTAAATATATTTGCATAATCTTTTGTTTACCCCTCAATTTCCCTATTGTTCAAAGCCCTTCCCACTTGAATTAATTAAAGTCCTGGTCTAGACGGGGTATCCAGATAGATACACGTGATGTAAATTACACCATGTCATTGGCCGAAATGCTATGAATATCTAATGATGTGTGAGAATTATATTTTAAAGTGGACAAATAACAAGACAACTATAAGTAATATTCGTTCCCTGCTCGGGCAAGCTTTGATTTGCCGATTTGCCGTATTCCGTAGGAAGAATCGCGACAACCGGCGTCCTCACCACGTAGCAAATTAATAATAGACTCAACTGAATTACGAAGCCTAAATACTTGAAATATAAGAGTTCCCTCGAGAGCATTAACAGGCGGCATATTTTCGATACGCGAGCAAAATTATTGTTGACATTTGAGTTACGTAATTATTTCCGTTAACAAGATTGACCAATGGGAAGTTTTTCCGCAGATTCTTCGGAGAAGAACAAATTAATCATAGGCATTTGGGCAGGCGTTTATTTAACGACGTCCTCTCTACTCCCGCCCGCACTAAACGCCTGGGGCAGGTTGTATAAAACTGTTAATCGCTTTTTTAATCACTATTTTGTAGTTAAATAATGATTAACTATCAAATAGGCGCCTCTTATTGGATGACGTTTGCACTTAATCATAGTTAACTTCAATCACTTTTTTTATACCAACGGTCCCCTGCTACGCAGGCTACACCTAGGTGGGCAGGCTCGCCTAAGCCGCTGAATATAAATATATTTTTGTAAGTAAGACATTTGATCTATAATTTTAAAAATTATTTGTTTTGGTGAGTCAGCCCGCCACAAAATGAAATCAGCTCGGCAAAGCCGCTTAGCACAGGTAACCGGGCTGGCTCGCCTCCATGTAAACACGGCATAAGACATTTAGTTTATAAAATATTTTGATCACAGAAACTTATATGATGTAAACAATTAAACTCAACTATGAAAAACGCGTAACTGGAATGCAGCCTTTAGAGGAAACTGCGCACGGCTAGCTTGAACACGCCCAGCATGATCGTACATATACCATGTTTTGCGCTGCAGGGTTACTATTCCAACGTTTGGAAATTCAACTTGAAGAAACATTGTTGTTACTTGAATTAACGAAAGTACCGAATGTTCCATTCTTCAAATCATCATTTATGTTGAACAACAGCATCACTTTACATCCAGGTTTTAGCATTAAGACTTCGGCGACAGTGTGTTTAAGTAATATTTTGCGGCCAATGTCAGTACTTTCGAATTTCAGCACTTGACCAGGAAGGTTTGTTAGCATATATGAGTTATGGCTACAGGGAGCTTCGTAGAATAAATATGAATAGGTGGTGTGTCGCCAGTTCCCGTACAAAATCTAGATAATCCACAAAGATACGCCTCGGTTTCATCGTCACATTTACCTAACCTTATTGATTCAAGAGCATCCTTCAATCGTATTTCTCCCTCGCGTTGCCTCATTATTCTGGTCAAAGCAATTCGATGCGGGAAGACATTATAAAAAATGATAGACTTGTAAACTGGATCGCCAGAGTCTAGGACATTTGGGATTGATTTTAACTGATGAAAATTGCCAGACAGGATAACCTGAATTCCACCAAAGGGCAGTGTATTGTTATGGTTATTCTGTTGGAGCAGATTGACAATGTTGAGAAAACGCATACTTGACGTTGAAATCTTGTCCCATATCAAAACGTCCAAGGATTTTATTTGGTTCAGAACATTCTGGCGTTCAAGAGATCTTTGAATGACAAGCGGCGCAGGTAGTTCCGCGGTGTTTAGCCCATAGAAAGAATGAACTGTCCTTGCCAAGCCTTCGTGGATGTTGCACGCAACCCCATTTGGACAAGCTATTTCGCATGTTTTCCCATACTGGCAAAATCTCTTTCGAAGTTCTTTAACAACTGTCGACTTTCCAACTGTCGAATTGAAAATCCATTTTTTATGTGTCGTTGTAAAAGGAACTTATGCAATTTCTCTTGGTTCCATCCTTCGATTGCGTTACGAAGTTCTTTTTCTCCGCCACAAAATTAGTTCCATTATCAGATCTCATAACCTCCGGATGACCACGTCTGGCAATAAATCTTCGCATGGACTGTAGAAACGAATCAGTATCAAGACTGTAGGCTATCTCAATGTGAATGGCTCGAATCGTTAAACACGTGAAGAGAACGCCATACCTCTTCACGAGACTTCGCCCCTTCTTCACCAGGAATGGCCCGAAGCAATCTACCCCAACGAAGGTGAAAGGTGGGTTATTAGGGATAACTCGGTCCTTTGGTAGGTCGGCCATTTTCTGCTCCCCACGTGGACCCTGTCTCTTTCGACAATCAACACAGTTATTGAGGATTCGTTTCACCATGATTCTTGCTCCAACTATCCAGAAACGTTCCCTTAGGAGTGACAAAAAAAGTTCCCGTCCCGCGTGAGCGGAGATTTGATGATAGTATCGCACGATCAAGTTGGAAATATGGTTATTCTTTGGGACGATTATAGGATGCTTGCTTTCTCTTGGTATTGGAGCGTTCTTCAGACGGCCACCAACGCGTAGAATACCATCAATCAACTGTGGGTCCAGATTATATATAGGACTTGATTTCTTAACATACTTGACTTTTAACTCGTTCGTTGTATCATTGATGGATTGATCATCTAAACGTATCAGCTCCTCTCGAAAGCTTGTTCCCTGAACGTGTTTCACGACCTCGTTCTCTGCGCGAACCAACTCTTCAACACTAATTGGATTAATAACTCCAGCCTTCAGTGACCCGTATTCTCCTTCTCTTCTTCTACGTACAGCTTCGCGGAGTTTCGAACGATAACGAAGCACCCAGGCTATGAAACTTCTAAGGCGGGTCCACGACGAAAATCGTTTAAAGATCTGATCCAAGGGATCTTCTAGGGTTCCTTCTAGGGTTTCTGTAGCCGTGGCAAATGTTTGTGGTTCTATCTTTACTTCTGGATCATCCTCAAGGGTCGCGGCAGAATTATAGTGTTGACTTGGCCAGTGGTCTTCGGTCTTGCGAAGAAAATCAGGTCCACTCAGCCATCTTTCATTGTGGAGTAGAGCATCGGCAGAGAGACCTCGGGAGGCGTCGTCAGCTGGATTCAACCGAGTACTCACATATTTCCACTGCGACGGTACGGTAGTTTCGTGTATCACAGCCACGCGATTTGCCACGAAGGTTTTAAATCTTTTCTCTTCGTTAAGGATATAGCCAAGCACAGTTGTACTATCTGTCCAGAAAATGGAAGCGTCGATCGAGATCTCGATTTCGTTGCGTACCATCTTATCCAGTCTGGTAGCTACAACAGCTGCAGATAATTCGAGTCGAGGGATCGTAACTACCTTGAGCGGTGCCAAACGAGCTTTGCCAATCACAAACGAAACATGAATGTTACCACGTTCATTTACCAATCGAAGGTAGCTAACTGCGCCGTACGCACGTTCAGAGGCATCTGCAAACTGGTGCAATTGACTTGACACGATATTCCCAAATTCGGGAGGTTTGAAGCATCTTGGCACGTAGAGCTGCTCAATTTTCATTAGTTGCGTTTGCCAATTTTCCCATCGTTTGAGGTATTCTCCCTGAATAGGATCGTCCCAACAGCAGCGAATCCCAGAGGATCATACACAGAACTGACTAAGGAAAGTACTCCTCTTCTGGTGGATGGTTTTTCCTTCATCTTTATCTTAAATCCAAACTGATCTAGACCAACATTCCACTGAACACCAAGTGCTCGCTCGAGGGTTGGCTGACCAGGGCATACGTCCTTCACGGAACCAGCTCTCTCCGGTTCTGGTATGGAAGCGACGACTTTTGGGGAGTTCGAAACCCATTTTGTCAAACGGAAACCACCTCTTTGCAGTATATCACGGAGATCAGCTGCCAAGGTAATAGCTTCATCTTCGTCTGCAACGGACTTGAGACAGTCGTCTACGTAAAAGTTTCGTTTTATCGTTTCAACTACGTTCTTATTAAATTCCTCCGCATTGTCGGTTGCTGTCTTTCTCAATGCAAAATTTGCACAGGTTGGCGAAGATTTAGCACCAAACAAGTGGACTGTCATTTGGTACTCTTCGGGTCTGGCATCAAGGTCGTTACCAGGCCACCACAAGAAGCGCAAAACATCTCTATTTTTGTCAGGAACATGAACCTGATGGAACATGGATTCAATGTCCGCCATTAATGCCACTAGATCTTGTCTGAAACGAATTAATGCACCAATCAAACCGTTCGCAAGTTAAGTCCGGTCCCTGAAGCAGTTGATCGTTGAGAGACGTACCATGATAAGTCGCAGCACAATCAAACACTACTCGCAGCTTTTCAGGCTTGTTTGGATTAATCACTGGGTGGTGAGGTAAATACCACAAGGTTTTGTCGTGCATTTCCATTGATTTGTCAGAAACTTTCATTGCGTATCCTTTGTCTAACAAATTATCCATCACATCTGCATATCTTGAAAACAACTTGGGATCTTTATTGAATCTTCTCTTCAACAGAGCAAGGCGATGCTCAGCGACAGGACGATCGTTTGGCAACGAAGGTGAAGAGTTCTTCCAGGGCAGAGCTAACTCGTAATGACCACCACGCAGTTTGGCAGAGTTCTCGAGAATGTTAACGGCTCGCTGATCTTCTCTGGACATCTCAACTTTATTGTCGAAGGTAGAATCGCTAAA